TTCACAAGCAGAAAGATATCCTTTCAATTGAACGCTGTCAGTTTCATCGATGGGCGGCTTTATACGAAACAGTAATCAAAGGACAGTGCGTCGGAGCGGCGCTCTAAAGGATCGTACCCTCGTAATCAGTCGTTGCTTCAATCATCTCGACTATGCGTACGCGTTCGAGAACGCGCGTTTGTAGCGGGTTTCTAAAAACCAAGTAGATTCTCTTCAAAGTGACTTCTCTTTGCGATATCTTCTTCTCTTTGTAGTGATAACTTGTAATCGTTATCGTGATCCTCATAACGTTGGCTTGTTAGCAGCTTCTTTTTACCTCGGAAAAGATGACAGAGGACGTAATAATAAAAGGGGTTCGAAGAATATATTTTTATACAGAAGAGATGCTGGCGTCAGACTCGCTTTATCGCCATGCGCTACCAACAATCTTTGCTTCAATCATACATTACATCGGATAATACGAAATTACAGGCGACACTGACTGACTAATTCGAGCTACTTTGCATAACAGAAACTTATCGCGACGTTCATCAGCTCGGACTTCCTGGACGCGTTTGATAACCTTCGGATAGTTTATGTTCATCTTCGTCCGTCCGAGTGTCACCCTTCCACGACCCTTGACACGGCTGACACATTTCGCACGAGATACTTTGGCCAATCTCGCGATCGTAACCGTGGATCCTGACGCGACGGAGCCAATAACCGAGATTGGCTTTCGTTTCGTCGTTGCTCAGCTTGGCCCGTAATCTTTAGCCGCTTCGTAAAACGCCCTGAAGATCCTCCTGAACGTTGGCCGGCGATATCGTCCGAGGTCGGGCAATTGCGCCGGCCATCTTATATCTTCCTACTTCTTTCTTTATCGTTTCCTTTCTCTTCTTTCTGAAAGACGATACAATCCCGCGATCCATATATCCCGCAGACACACTCTCGCCACCTCGGTTACGTTACGGGGACAATATCTAATAAAATGCGGAGCGAAGTGGCTCCGAGCTTGCGTTGCGATCTTCTTTATATAAAGATTTCCCCGGAATTTTGCTCGCCCCATCGCCGTCAATCGCAGAAGAAACGGAAGATTGCATAAACCGCGTTGCGACTATCGCGGGCAAAATAAAGCCACGTGTTCCGGATTATCATATAATCGAGAGTCTGATCCGGAGGCAGAAAATCGTCGGAATAATTCTAGAGCTTTGCGCTAGTAGCATGGTGAGATGGTTATGACGTTTGTCGGAATAATGTTTCCTGCCGGAACAGGATATATTGTATAATTATCGTGATTCAGGCAGCTATATAATGATATAATTTTAAATAGCCCCAAATATGTTTCGAAAATTTCGAGTAATATTACATCATTGTGTTACATTTTAGAATTTCATTTGTATTGTTCAACTTTGCGGTTTATTTAATAATGTAAAATTATTTGTACACCTAAAAGCTTCATTTAATTATTTGATGATAATTATATGAAATCAAGCTGGCCGTATCTTATTTATTCCCAGATAATTTGGCAGGTATTACTATGAATTATTTAACGTTATATGAGGTCCATAAGTAATTTCTAACTGCGAGTTGTCATAAATAATGTTCCGCGGCCCTGACGACTATTCCTAATCGAGAATTAAGTGCAATCATAATATCGTTATCTACTGACCTTAATCGATGCGAATAACAATTCTTGTGCGCGAATTTCTTATGCGTCCTCGCACTAGTCCGCACATTGATCACGCGCATTGTAAATCCAAGATAGATCGTCTCGGACGTTCATTTTCGTTATCTACGGATTCATGTAAACAGGATGCATGCGACAGCGTTTCGTGTTATCTGTAGTGATTGCTAGGCGAGGGTTGTCTCTCACCGGCCGTAATAGATTCATTAGGGTAGACACCGCGCTGCCTACCCCCGGCGTATCGTCGCCCCTAACTCTGCATACACGTACCCTCTTTCATTTTCTGTCACTCGATCATTCATTCGCGTGTAGTATCCGTTACTGATTCGCGTACACGTCCGATCGTATCGTATTACGTACAATAATTAGCCATTTATTCGTAAATCCGTCGCAAGATTTTTCATTATTCGTCTCAGTTTACGTACAACTTTTTTTTCGCTGGATTTACTTCTGTATAATATATAATTCCACAAAGGATGTGATGATAAAGTGTGTAAATACTTATTTAGAGAAGAAGTTAGTCTCATAATTATATCTTTATATTACTATAAATTAACTCGTGTCAGATGTGTTATTCATCAAGTACAGACAGCTGATTGAACTGTCCCGAATATTTTACCCATCAGTTTAAAAAATTCGCTCATCCGCGAGAGCGAACGTGCGCACTTTTTTTCCAGCTACTATATGTAATCCAGTCCAATTTAATCGAACTGCTCGATCATCAAGCTTCTAGTCTCCCATTCTCTCTTTCGTGTAGTCGACCCTCGACAGATATCTCGCAAATCAGATTATCGATCGTTAATCAATATCACTGCAATTTGGCGACCCACCAGCACGTAGCGTGCTTTTGTATATATGTTTGCGTGCGCGCTCAATGGAAAGCCGTGCTGCTGTCCATTGCAGTTTTTCTCGCTCGCGAACGAATAATCGGCCTCGACGTGGATGGGCGATGCAATTGGTCATATATAGGGCAGCCTTGAAACGTAATTTTCGCATTTCTCCCACGTAACATTGTGTCATCACGTTCTGACTTTTTGACGCAGAGATACACATTTTTCGTTCAGAGATTGCCTCGGATACTGTAACGAACGCAGATACCGTTTTCTTGCTCGTTGCAGCATTTTAATATGTTTACTTTCCCGAAATTTAATCCTGCGTCTTGTTTGAGTTGCCCGAATGAAACAGATGCAAATACATATTCATGTTGCCTTCGATCTTCCACGGGGAAGTTTTCTTTATCTTTGTTTTTTGGCTTGCCGAGGATTGGGCTCCCCTGTGTCGGCACGTTTCTCTGATATAATTTTATCGTGATATTACACCAACTGTGCAAACAATATTGCGTTTTCTCGTTAGCATTCCTCTCTGACGTTGCAACATCCGGTATTGTATTTTTACCATTAATCCTGCGGATCGGCGCTTGGCTCCTCTAATCCCACGCGCTGCACTTTTTTGAATGTTTAAAAGTTTAACGTTGAAAAGTTTCGCCCCCGAACAAAGTCGGTAGAAAAGTGGCTTCAGGTGGAAAAAAAAGAGAAGGTAATAGATCCTCCCGTTTTTCATCCCCGCGAAGGGGATGGGTCATCAGTCGCCTTCCGCGATCCTGCCCCTTTGTGAAAGTTTGAATACGTAGACAACGTCTGGTGTCGCAGGGAGCATTTCTTCTGCAGCTTCTCGTATCCGGGGCTTCTTCGCCGTTTGTCACTCGCTGCCAAGAATGTGCCGCGAATTCGAAGGAAAGATAAAATAGAATTGCGCGCGGTCCGTCCCCATTTTATGGGGACAGGCGGATCGCGCGATAATTTGCCGTATTCATTGTCCAGGAATTAATTCCCCATTTCGCGCTTCGCGAATCCCCCGGCCGCCGGCACTCCTTTGTATTTGACCGTGGAAAATGAAGTTCAAGCCCTCTCGTGATAGCGAAATACGCCGGAAATTGGGGATATCCTGCCGCGTTATGGATCCCACAGTGATTTTACTTGAGTACGATACAGGAGTATGAGGCGAATCCGCATTCTATTGGACCCTTGTCGGTTTTTCTCAATTCATTATACTGATAAATTTAGCACGATATAATTCATTTGACTGAACCCGTGCATAGTTTTCCTCATTGAGATTATTAAATTCGAAATTATTTAAGTACATTCTACCACCTGTGTGTATTGAGCAATTACAAAATATCCATTGTGCCATAACAGCGTAGTAATGTCTTCGATATAGAAAGTGTGGGAAAACCGAGTTTGCCGAGCATTAAATAAATCATGGATATTAATAAAGTTGAGCGCATTAAACGGTAAGATAAACAAAGCGTAATTCCATACCGTTAAACAATTACGTGTACACTGTGTGCATACGTGCGCGCGCGATATGATTACTCATATTGTGTGAACGAGGATCGATCAAAAACAAATTACCCGGCGACAAAGAGACGTACAAAGACCGCCTATTGCACTCTAAGCGGTCGATATCCGCATCCTGATGCTGCGAGCCTTTGTGTCTGGTCCAGTGGTGCTGGCTGGACGATGCGATGGACCAGAGCGGCTTCCGATAACAATTTTTTTTTCTCTCGTTCGGCAAGTTCGCCTGTGGTTCCTGTCAAAAGCAGCAACCAACATGTTTTACGGCGCATCTCGTTCTTGCCGCCCTCGCAAGGAGGGAGGGAACGAGGAAGGATTTCGGCGGGGTCCTCTCCGGTCGAGCATAATGTGCCCATTATCTTCAGTCCTTTCGTCTATTTCGCATGTGTACCTTGCCTGTATAATGTACCGGGTGTCCGCGTAATTTCGTGCCCCCTCCATCTGCTCGACCTTGCTTTCTCTTTCTCCCGTCTCCGATGTCGCGAATGGCCGTGACACGATCGTAAAGACTAAAGAGGCCTTAGATGATGCTCGAACGGGTCGACGAATACGAAGAGGATGAAAGGGGTGGTTGGTTGTGGGGTGGAGCAAGGACAGAACGTCAGGCGAGGAAGCCGGAGACCATTACGGTAATATCCTATGGACGGAGAAAGTGATTTTTAAGGAGATAAGGCTGCCATTTCAAGGCAATTTTGCTTTCCCTGTAAGCTTTTTCGTTCTCTTCCTTCGCGGCGACCCGAGTCCCCCGCGCTTCCTTCCACAATAGAACGATTATGAAAATTTCGCACCGTATTCGGGGTTCTCGAAAGTGAGCTTTATACGGCTAGGACATCTTTCTACCCGTAAATCTTCTGAATCCTTGCGTTCACGATCGATGAATCCCTTGTGTTTTCTACCCTGATGCATTGTGAACGTTTTAAACGAGTCCGAATTATCTTGTACATAATATTATCACATTTCGTTTCATCTCGATCGATCTTCAGATCCTTCAGCATCCGGTTCGTCGTGCGAGGACGACGAGGACGGGCGAGCAGTGGTCGTTAGAAAACGAAAGAACAGCGTTTACGCCTCCTCCTCGATTCGTGCTCCATCGGCGGACAGGGACACTTTAACTTCGACCGACGGCCTGCTCGTGGATTGCGTCGCCCTGGTGCATCTGGCCGATCAATCCCCGACCGAGTCCGCTCAACCTGTACGTCATCCGTCGCCCTACTATTACGGCGATCTCTTCAAGGTACCGGAGCAACTGGCCAAATCGCAGCCGAGCAAGTACCGGAAGAGCGTCAGTCTCGATGTGCCGGGCGAGCGTTCGCGCACACCCGGTATAGCCAAGAGAAACTCGGTAGCGGGTGATGGAGGCTCGTACTCGTCCCAGCCACGGCATTATCAGCAACTACAGCAGCCGTATCCACCGCCGCCGCCACCGCCGCACTATCGCAGCCAGGATCTAGTAAGCCCCACTTCGGGGAGCGAGCATGCTGTCCCAGCCAGAAACGAGATCCTCTCGTCGTGCATCATCACCGAGTGGGATCACACCCTCATGCCTCCGCATAGGCTGCTGAGCCATGACCTGCCTACCACCGTTTGTACCTGCGTTGCATCGCCCGAGGAGGAGGAGGATGAGCTAGACCGACGGCAGCCGCAAGTGACGCGGCACCAAGTGCGCAAGCTACGACGTACGCGGAGGATAGACCCGCAGCCGATACTCGTCGAGGACGAGGACGACGTGGAGGGTGAGGACGAGGGAGAGGAGGGAGACGAGGAGGACGCGGAGCCTGAGGAAGAGGACGAGGAAGGGATGGCCAGGCAACGTCACCTCTACGAGACGGCCTTCGACTGCAAGGTCAATCGCTCCGACGATGATCTCGACGATCTCGATCGCGTCACCAATCACGCGGTACTGCATTCCCAGGTATGTATGCGCATACATTCGGAGATTTCAAATTGTTGCTTCGATCTTGAGTTAAATTGCACGTGCAATTTTTATTTGCAAATTGTCCCGTCCTTATTTTGCAGTTCTTCTAATTAATTCCAATTCATTTCTATGTTTTCCTTCGAGACATTTCGTTAAACCTCCTTTTGTGTTCGATATGCAAGTAAACTAAATAAATCCCATTATTATTCTATTTGTGAAAAGCGAGTTTTGGATGAAATAAAATGAAATGCAGATACGGAGTAGCAGTACGGTTCCAGTGAGTAGAACGAGTTCGTCAACAGACACGTCGAAGCAGCAACATCAACAATCGCTTCCTTATACCGGCCAGTCGCAATCAAGCAAGGACCACCGACGTAAAGTCGTACTTCTCCGCCCAAAACCGATTCCGAGCCGCTTGCAGCAGCAGCAGCAGCAGCAACAGCAACAGCAGCAGCAACAACCTCAGCAACAGCAATCGCAACATCAGTCAGACAATATATCTACTCTGTCCCAAGATATCGAGTCCCTCCAGATCAATTCAAGCGATGAGAAAACCGGATCGCCGAGACTACCGGCACGCGATTACACACCGTCGCCGCCGTCGACTGCACCTTTACCTGCGAAATTCCACGGAAACCGAGACCATTTGCTGTTGAATATTCGCAGCGCGCCAAATTTACCAGCGCAGCAGGATCACCCCCGTTTGAAAGACATGAGATTGCCTGTGAAATCGTTGTTGCGCGCCAAGGACTCGCCGCAGAGTAGCGAGGGCAGCATTCTCGAAATCAAGAGCCGACCGAAGACCTTCGTCCAGGAAAATATTGATTCTTCGCAGGGTCGTCGATTCGACAAGGAACTCATACTGGAGTTTAAGGACAGGCCCCGGGAGGAGAGACAACGACCGCGCAGCCTGATCCGCGAGAACAGGCCGATAATGGAGTTCAAAGGCAGGCCCCATGAAGCGGAGAACGATCTCGTGCGGCCGCGAAGAGACGCCGGCCTCTTGGAATTCAAGTTGCGTACTTCGAGACGTCGCGTCGGTTATTCTAGCACGGAGAGCATGGCGACTAGCAGCAGCGGCGGCAGCATGGAATCTATCAGGAGTAGCACCAGCGAGGGCAATAGGTCGACCAGCAGCTCCGACAGCCGGCACAGCACCAGATCATTGAGCTCGCACAGTTCCGACAGCGGCGGCACCAACTGCTACCATCACCATCAACAGTCGCTGCCTGGCTTTCTGAACCATCACGCCACCAAACTGCATATCCTCTCGCCGATCTCCGACAAATCGTCGCAGGAGCCGGCCTCGGAGACCTCCGACAACAATCGCAACAACAACTCGCAGAAGGCCTCGCCCGAGGAGAGTGTCACCGCGGAGAATAACATCACCTCTGGCAACAACACCAACACGAATACAGTCACCTCGCCCATGGACACGTCCTTTAAGAAGCGGCGAACGCCGCAGAACAAGAACCTCATTAATCTTGCTCTGCAGTCGTCGTCGTCGGGCGACGCGGAGATCCAGGGATCGGATAGCGGTATATCCATCGAGTCCCGCGCTGGTATCAAGTGCAAGCCTTTCGGATTTCACCTGTTGAAGCCGCAGCTCGATAACATTAATTTCGTCGACAACGAGCCGGAGCTCTCGGATCTGCCCTTCGATATGCCGAAGCTGCGAAGAAGACGGCTGCTAATGCAACAGGATGCCACTACATCCGGAAGCGCGACCAGTGTGGACCTGAGGGATCTACCCTTCGACATGCCGAAACTCAGGAAGCGTCTCAGATGTACTCAGAGTGTCGAATCCAGCGCGTCCCAGGCGTCGTCCAGTCTCTCGGTGCGCGACGTGGAACCGCCTCTTTTGTTTGGTAAGTTCCCGTTGCTTTACACTTACATTGTAACTCGAAAAATTAAAATCTTACCAAACGTCACTAACAAATTAATGAATTTAGTATAAAAATGTGTACTTTAATCGTTAATAAGATTATTTTTTAACACTTTTTCCTCGTATTCATTTCATTTTTAATGTTTGTTAAATAAAGGACGAATGTTGTTTCTTCGAATAAATTATTTTTTCGAAGTAACCAACGCAAATCGGGGAAGCTATGAGAAAAATCTGGGTTTACCTTTCTTCTTAATCGAGTGTCTAGACATTAAATCGATAAAAAAGGTACTTTCCGCACCTCGAGGTAAACTAAGTACTCATCAGGACAGAGGGGTTACCGTAATTTGATGCTGATCGTTATGAACCTTCCAGACAACAGCTAACATCGTTAAGCTTCACTCAGTTACTCCCAACAGCTGGATATTCACTACCAACACTTAGTCAACCATGCCGCATATATCTATTCCTTAATACATTGTACTACATACAATTCACTCTAATTCCTTCTCATTTTTTTTATATTAAAGCAACCATTAATAATTGAAGTGTCATTTTGCCAAATGACAAAGTAATTTCTCCATACATTAGTTGAATATTAAGCCCATATTTATCATGGCAACGAAACTACTTCTCCATAATAGATATGCATACACAACGGCATTTACTTAATAACCCAAGGTTATAATTAAGGAACGAGCGATACAGGAGAGTACGGACCGATGTTTGACAAGTACAATTTATCGAATGGTATTAAAGTAACCGACAATGTGTAATTTAGATCACATTAATAGTACGCACCGCAGAGTATCAATAATTTAACGTCGGCGAGTGAATGACCTGCGTGCGCCATGCAAGTGCATCGCGAAACGCTCGGAATTAGTCGGGTGATTAAGCCGCCGCCACCGCTGCCGTCGCACCGGGCACCCTCTCCTATTATCCCCCGAAGCTGTACCGTCCGACCTGATGGGACTTTGAACGCGCGTCGTCTACCCCCTTCGAGTTCCCAAATTGCGAAAGCTCTAATGCGAGAGCTACGAGAACGAGCTCTCTCGCGCTGCACACCGCCTACGGCCGGGGGGGTGCCGCAACCTGCGGTGATGCCGGTCCGCGGGGGGGACGACGGTAAATGCTGTTACACGAGGGGTAGGCTTGGGTTTACGTGCGCTGATGTATAGACCCACCGGAGTGGTAGGTAGGCGAGAGAAGGAACGCGAGAGAACATGGGCGACGGGGAAGAGAGCGAGCGACTATTTTTATCGTCGGTCGAATGTCAATAAAGGCACGAAATGCCCGGTAAATCCGTTTTGCCTGGAAGCTTTACGGGGTCCTCGGCAACTGTTCTTTATCTCGCCTGGAAGAACGTGTGGCGGCGACGGTGACCGTGCGACGAGTGATTCCTCACGCCGTGAAATACGCCGACGCGGATTTATTTTATCAATTACAGCAGCCGGGGCTCCAAAGCACGGCGCCTCGCTTTAGCGTCGTTGCCCGGGTGATTTAAAGCGCAGCCGATTATCACTCGCAGCTTTCGTCGAGCAGACGGTAAATTATGCGATTGCGGGACGAACTTTTTTTTTTACAGCGTTTTGCAATCACCGAGATGTTAATATATTCGATATTTTTTAAACTTTCTCGCCACAGAAATGCAGATTCCTTTGCATCTTTTCAGCAAGCGAAATTAATTAATTGAATCTTTCACGGAATTAAATTCCTCCGTTGCCCAGCTGGCACGAGCGTGCGCATCGATTCGGTAGAGCGTTCACTCATCGATGAAGTGCGATATGAAACAGACCTAAAATGAAGCGCACTCGATTCCGCTGATAAAAGCCCAGTCGTGTCACTCAGTTGCAATCGCTCTTTGAGCAACTGCCTCGTCGAAAATATGAATAAATAGCCGTCGCCTGCACGGAGTTTAATCAACGTGTGGGTAAACACATGAATGCGCGCGGGTGCGTCCGTCGCGCCGGTCCTTTCCGTTCGCCAGATAACGAAAGTGCGACAGTCGCATTGCGTCGCGCGAAACTACATACAAATTATTTCGTCTGGCTGGTCGAACGTTTTACCGTGACGCTCGCTTTTCGCCGTTGAACGTACGGGAGACGTAAAAAGCTCTAGCGCTTCCGGACATCCAGCTACGAGCGCGTTTTAATGGCAGCAAAAATTGTGTACTCGTTTGCGCGACGTGCGATTATGTAACGTTGCGCTCGTGAGGCTTTTTAAAATTTTATGAATACGTGCAAATAAAAACTTGATTTCGACTGTTATAAATGTAAAACAAATTCCGTTAGAAAAATTAAAAATACGTGTCATTTTGTGACTGATGCAAAACGCGTTCTCCCCGCGCGCGCGCAATATTCCGCGATTTAGCAGACGACTGCGAGCGAGTCGAGAGCCCGCAATATTTTTCCCGGTTGATGGATGTCGGATTCGTAAATTAGCTTTTGAAGAGGGACCGGGAGAAAAGGGAGATATAAGGGAACGAGACGTCGAATGCGTTAGCACGTAATCAAGACCAGATTTCTCCAAAGATATACGCCTTTTTATGCGTTACGTTGTCGACAATTACTTTTTCGGAAGTGAGGGGCCCTGCGGGGATGTGATCGATCGGTTTCTTTGCCTTCGACTATCGGCACATGGCTAGCGGATCGTCTTATTGGTTTGTCAGTGCGAATAGGTCGTCGATCACGATAAGCCATCTTGACCGATGAGGCGATTCAGTTATTACCATCGACATTTTTCCGACATTTCTCTACTTGTTAGCGATATTATTATTTTTTAGCAGTGATTTGTTTTTACTATACTAACTGAATTGATTAAAGGTTTATTTCTTTTCGTTATATATCGGCAATACTTACTATCTCAAGTTTGTCCGAGTAAGGTCCGGTTTCACCAACGTTGTTTAACTTGAAACTTAGCTTAATTCGTTCTTTGTCTCGTTTAAACTTTTACAGAACTTTGACAGAACTTTTACTTTTTAACTGTTCCAGAAAGAAACAAACATGAATTAAACTGAGATTAAAGTTAAGCGACGTTTCGTGAAACCGGGCCCCAAGTCTTTATCAATTTTCTCGGAAACGGTGGCTGACGCGTCGATCGAAGGCAGCGAGCGTGGGGTGATTTTTCCTTCGAGACATTATTTTTAAATTTCACCGGCATTGAAGGTCGGCGAACCTCTGGAAGGAAAACCGTGCATTGTGCTTTCAGATAAAAGCCATCGGCTTCTGCCGATCTGCAATATGCTATAAAGACAGGAGGATAGAGCCCAAAGCTACCGCTGCATTTTGCTTCGCATATTCTTCCCTTCACAACGGGTTCGCGTGTACTTACACACGGGTGTCCATGTGTACGAGCACATGTCACCAGGAAGATAGGCGCGTATTGAAAATATCGGAAATATTACGCCCTACTTGCGACAAGTTTGCACTGTGTCCCCTTTCCGTTCGTCTCTTTTAAACGTCATCGCTGCACCCCTTTGATAGGCGGCATTATCGAACTCGCGGAAATAAATTCGGTGAATCGAATAGATCTTCTGGAGGCAAGAAGTAAAATAATTTCTATTCTTGCTCGTGCGCGCCACGCACTTGGCCCGTAGATACATTCGGCTTTTTTCGCATCATCGCTTTAGGTCGTTTACGACAGCGAAAAAATTAATACTCGCAATCTCGACGTGCACATCTGTCTCGCGCATAGGCCCTTTAATGGCCGACCACGTGAACTCTAGTAGCTAGTAGCGATCGTTAACGGTCCAGAGAAGGGGGAAGAGGGAGGCAAAAAACTGCATTGACGTGGTGATATCTGGCTCGGTTCGCTTCGTTGGATACATGGTAGGGGGGGAGGGGGAATTGGCAAACGCGGGAGAAGAAGCGTACGTACATAAGACTTCTTCCGGTTGTTTACGACTGAAGTTGTTAAGTGTAACTTACATCAGAGTCTTTGTTTTTCCGGCGTGACGATCCATACTCTCATCTACCAAATGCGATCCCAGAGTTTCGCGCAAAAACAGCTTGTTTTTGCCGCTTAAGGGATAAACGCTGGAAAGGGTAAAAGAAAAGCAGAAAGCAAGAGAGGAGCAAACAATATCTGAAACTGAAATCGTGTATCGTCTACCGATTTAATTTAGTTGTAAGAATAGAACGTGTTATATGTTATACTGTTATATATGAACGTGTTGTATATTATAATGTTATATATGTTATGTAATATATTCATATTTTTGAAGAATTGACGTTAACGAAAACTAGCTTCAACGCGTTTTCCTCGTTTCATTTGTTCGACTATCGATAATGCGCTAGATTCAATCGAAGAAACCAATACCTATCTAAGTGCACGCGATTTGCGGGACAGATATCGTTGTGATTTTACTGTTGTTTTCGATAGTTTGGCCTCGAACGTTTGTTGCAAACTATCCTGTTTACTCCATTCCCCAGTGCGGAAGGATCCGTTTCGTTATACGCGGCTATTCATACACACAAGCCACGTACAGTTCAGTCAACATCGCACGCCCAGTGTGCTGACCATTTGGTAGTTGGTCAAACTACCACGTGAATGATCACGGACTTGATTTTAACGCTGTCGCGTCATCTCCCGCAACAAGATTTGAATCAGTCTGTCGCGGACGTATGAAGACGTGATATGATTTTATATAATTCCTTAAATAATAAGGACATTGCGTGTTCGGATCATTAGAGAGGAATTCTCTATTGTGAGATAGATTTCTAATATGAGATAGCAAGTTTCCGACACCCAAATTCAATCACAAATTTTTTTTCGCAACGATTGCACAATCTAACTATAAATTTTTCACTAAACAGATTTCACTCAGCTATCCTATATTAGGATCCTATCTCACAATAAGGGACTTTCCTCTATATTTGTGCGTAATTCAATTTAATAATTATTAGTTATTTTTAATACAACGTACAACGCTCGTTAACGATGTAGAATTAAAACGTCGTGGCAGCCTAACGAGCTCTAATTTTCACGGCTGTCTACGAATGCAGTTGTTTAACGTGTTCCATCCTAGTCCCCGGTGAATTTTTATGGCTCGTGCATTTTAGAAGAGCTTGCGAATTGCGTACGTTACGTGCGTTTTATTTCCAAATTCTTCACTCGGAGAGTGGATTTTGCACGAATATAAGCGATGCAGCATGCACCAAACTTCATATGACGACCGTCAACCCCCCCCCCTCCCCCGGCTACGGATAAACGCAATTTTATCCTTGACTTCAAGAATCTAGCCACGTACTGTTTGCCCGATGTCACGCGTCGTGACTGTCTGCTGTTATCCATTTGGTACCGATCCAAAATCCTACCGCGACGCGAACCGCCATTCGGCTGACCACATTCCGGATTTTCTACTGGCAAGTTTCAGCAACTAAGGATTAACGCGTTTCAACGATTCCGCCCGACAGAACACGCGAAAACTGCGATGATTAAGCTACTTGCGTGCAGAGTTTATTTACACCACTTGTAATCTTACATTTGCGTGGTTTTATATAATTTTCGCTATCATTTAAAAAAATTGCATTTTTAACTTATCAGTTTTAGAAATTCATTAGTTTTTCGTGTCTGCAATTACTTTGTTGCCTGAGTTTTCATTAAAGCCTGTTTCGTGACATTTCATCTCTTCTCTTCGCGATAATTATTCTCTATTTGTTTCTCCTTAAGATGACGTCAGCATCCATAAGATCCTCTTTAAGGTCGTTACATGTCACTGCCGGCAGACGAGAGCAAATATGCAATATCAGATGTCAAATTAAGCTACGAAGGACTTGCCAATAACTAATCATGCCGTTATCCACCAGGCTTAAGGATCTTAAAACAATTTCCGATTTTACTGTTTCAAAGAATTGACATTGTAAAATATTTTCTGCACCCGAGACTTCGCTCACTTTTAATGGTACATTATTAGCAATATATAATACTAGTTTCTCTCTCGAAGCAAGTAAATTATTTGAAAACTTTTTATTAAAGACATGCATACGTAACTTTTTTAATATTAATATGAAATATTTCGTGAACGAGTTTCTAGCTTCAGAAATATACAAAAAAGTCCACTGTTAGCAGGTTCGATTAACAACTTAAGCTCCCCGACATTAATGAATAAAAATGAAAGTCCCCGAGCGAGTTATCTCGTAAATAAGAGATGCGGTCGGCAGACCGAGGTGCCCGTGATCCTCGGACAAATTGTACAAATACCATTTGAATCGTACGATGGAAACGTCTGACGTACGCCTATCGTACTTCATATTTCATGAGGATCGCGGACGTATCAACTATTCTGAACAGGTTCGAAGTGTTTGCCACCGCGTCGATAAGGGCCCGTCGACGGAGGGATAGAAGAGCTCAAGGGCGTGTAACTGCAACATCTGCCGGCGGAGAGATGTCTGAGGCCTATCCAGGGCAACGGCATCTCGCATCTGTTGTTCGGGCATTTCGGCGCTATTGCGAAATTTCTTCGGGGGAGGAAGAGGGTAGAACCTCGTAACGATGCCATACAACTTGAAGACGCGTTCGTGGTGTGAGATCGCAAGCTCATCGTGACCGGCAGTTTTCTTCTCCTCCATTTACGGTTATTTCATGCGCGGGGGCTCTCGAAAGTATAGTTGCAATGCAAATATTTTTATATTTGTCGAATGGAACGATTGCGCCGCGGTTCGTAACATAAGTATAATCGATTCAGCAATTCCGTTGAATATTTATGAAAACGCTTCGCCTCGAGCGATACGTTTCTTTCCGCGCGTTTGCAGCTCGCAAAGGTTCCCTCGTAAAACGACCAGACTCCACAGCCGCCTACGTGCGTAGCGGCGACTGCGCCGTCGTGAGGTGTCATCTTCCATTTAATAGCGTCTTGCCACTCAATGAAATCGCCATTGACTCCTTTCTCGAGCGCGTTTGACACGCCGACTCCCCGAGGCCGTAAATTCACCGGTGTCGTAAATCTCTGCGGCGGGTTCCACCCTCGATCTCTCCTTCGCCCGGCAATAAATACGAATCGCTGGGCCCGGGGGTTGCCTCGACTTCTCGGCTCGACGTCATTCCGTGGAGCCGTCCCGGCCGCCGACGTCCGGCGATACACGCAATACGTCCTGATCTTTGCGGGGAATTAAAATTTCCGCTCGCCGTCCGTGACGAGATACGGCGCGTATACTCTCGCGGCGGCACGAACACCTGCGAGAGATTTCCTGCGTATACCCCGTCCCCGACCGAGGGCTTCATTCGTGACCAGGAATTTCCCCGGAGACGTCTGCGGCGACGCCTCTCGCGTGTCACCCGTCGAAGGAATATTTTTTGCCCTTCCTAGCTATTTCTCTTCTCTAACTTTCTAACGCGCCGCGCGCAATCACCGTTCCCCTCCTCCCGCACGACACCTCCGAAACATCACTCAACGAAACCTCGGGTGATCTTAAAGCAAGCAAACGCGCCACGAATTCGTACACGATGATCACCGGCGGAGGAATTTACTCGTGTCCTTGACGCTTCTGTGTACGATCCGGTACCGAATATCCCGACGGCTTCTCCCCATTTCCCGCGGGAGTATACGGCGGTCGGAAAGCCCGCGAAGAAATTGATTGAGACGTATCTCCGCCAGAGACGGATATTAAAACAGTCTGAGAAGGCAGAGGCGGGGAATAAGGATACGAGTGTCAGGACGAGAGATTACTTGTGGGATGAGCGCTGTACAAAAGACGCGCACGCGGGAGCGAGAGCCCCGCAAAGACAGGGAGACGAGAAAAACCGTTTACACCGTCGCGTCGGGGAAAAGGAAGAGAAAAATCAAGCGGATAAATCTGCCGGGCCGATCGCCAGATTGAATTTAATAATACAGACGCACGCAATCTCGTCGAGTACCGCTAGCCGTTCGGCGCCATTAATGTTTAACCATTCCCGAAACGTGTGTTTCGCAAAGAGGAATTGAATAGAAATGGCGTGTAAGAGATACCCCACTGTCTTTTCGGGCCTTTCTCTCACCATGATTTCATGCATGTGTATACAGGAGGTTCCAGAACTGGTTGTTGTTCTCGCCGCAAAATGAAGTGACAGTTTAAAAATGGCTTTTTCCCAGCGAAAGGTTTTTCAGATGCTTATCGTGCATTGAAAAAATTTTGTAGAGTAGATATTATCGCGTCAAGATTACAATTTTTGTAATCCCTTGAATTTAATTAAAATAATGTCTCTCTCTCTCTCTCTCTCTCTCTCCTCCCCCCCCTCCCCCCCCCCCTCA